TCCTCAGTGTAATTTTTGGAGGAAGTCTCACAGAATTGCTTTGTTCTCGTCTCTGCAACTTTGATTTTGGAAAGGGGTCTCACGAAATTGCTTTGTTCTCACCTCTGCAAGTTCGTAATTTTTGAAGAAATTGTCACGAAATTGCCTTGTAATCATCTCTTCAGCTTCCATTTTGAAAGGGTTTCCTGCAGAAATGCTTAGCTTTTATCTCTTCGACTCCCTTTTGGACAGAATTCTCATAAACAAATAAAATTGCTTTGTTCTCATCTCTTCAACTTCCATCTTGGAAGCCTCTTGGAATTGCTTTGTTCTCAAATCTGCAAGTTCCGTTTTTGACCGAAGTCTCACAGACTTGACTTGTTCTCATCTCGGCAAGGTCCATTTGGAAGGACGCAGAATTGCTTTGCTCTCATCTCTGCAACTTCCATTTTGGAAGGGGGTCTCACAGAATTGCTATTTTGGAAGAATTTCCCACGAAATTGCTTCGTATAGTCATCTCTGCAACTTTCATTTTGAAAAGATTTCTTGCAGAAATGCTTCGCATTTATCTCTTCGATTCCCTTTTGGAAAGAATTCTCACCGAATTGCTTTGTAGTCATCTCTTCAATTTCCATTTTGGAAGGAACTTACGGAATTGCTTTGCTCTCTTTTTTTCAATTTCCATGTTGGAAGGAAGTCTTTCAGAATTGCTTCGTTTCAATCTCGTGAAAGGTCCCGCAGTTTGGCACCAAAGCTTTGTTTGCTTCCCTTTGATGTCCTGTTCCGAAGGAGGTCCCGATCTCTGCTGCCATGTCAGTCAGTCACCTGCTCGGTTAGCTCATCAGTTAGTTGGTTAGTCGGTCAGTCAGTCAGCCCGTTACTTAATGGAATAGGATTTGTTTTTGGATAAGGTTTAGGGTCTATTTTTGGATCTCCTGCTTTTCTGTTTCTTTGCTTTTCTTGCTTCTCTGCTTTTCTTGCTGCTTCTCTGCTTTTCTTGCTTCTCTGCTTTCCTGCTTTTCCGCTTTTCTGCTTCTTTGCTTTTCTCTGCTTGTCTTGCTTCTTTCCTTTTCTTGCTTTTCTGTTTCTCTGCTTTTTGCTTCGCTGCTTCTTTCCTTTCCTGCTTTCCTTTTTCAAGTGTACCAAAACAAGACCAAACGCATCAAGTCAAAAACCTACAGCATCAATGGGGGCACTTAAAAGACTCTACAAGTTCAAAGTGTAGTGTTGTTTGGAGGCAAGCGAGGTTGAAAATTCGAAGCGTTTAGAAATTTAAAACCTAGGGCCTAGGATTTTTTGGATGTAAAGGGGCGGAAAAATCAACAGAATCCACAAGTTTCAAGCGTAGCGCCGTTTAGAGGCAAAGGGGGTGCAATTTGTCAAGGATCTACAAGTTTAAAGCGTAGTGTTGCTTGGACGCAAGGAGGGAAACATCCCAATTAATCTACAGTACAAGTAATAAACGTAGCATTGTTGGGAGGCACCACGTGGAAAAGTAAGATAGCTGGGGACTGTGGTGGACCGTTCTTTTCTTCGTTTTTGCTTTGCTCAAGATGCTATCAAGATGCTAAGACATCATCCATACGAGGCGTCACAAGCAAACAGTAAATGAAATTGATAAGAATGGTGATGACTCACAACTCCACTCCGCTGCGTCAGGAGATGTCCAGAGTAACGTCTGGGCAGTCCACAACTTTGCCATGCGGGAGCAGATCCGGTCCATCGGCACGGAGTGGCCCCTGCGGTGAGGGGGTGATGTTGAAGCCTGAGAAGTTGAACGAAGATAGCTGCAGATGGCTAAGCTACACCAAAACATGAACGACAAAGATATAATGACACCACTTGGAACATCAACATTTCTTGGTAAGGATCGGGGCGGTGACGCCCTAGCGTACTAGCCTCCCGAGGTATGCGACCAACGTTGAATTGGAGGTGGTCCGCCCCCGCGCTTTGTACGCCTTGGGCACGGGCTACTCCAAGTATGGCAGGCACTGGACATGGGGAGTGTGCGGTGCCATCTCGGGTTGGTGCAACTCACCTGTGAGGGTAGCAGCGTTTCGGATCCAAACGTCCCAAAGAAGGGGAGGCCCAAAAAATGTGGTCAAGAAAAGGGCAGGACATAGAAGCTGCTACCAGTATGATGAACCCCGCGCTTTGCTGCTACCAGTTGCCAAGTCTAAAACAGGCTTGAAATTTGATTCTATCCACATCTACCCATCGCGGGGCACTAGAGTTCACGATCAAGCATCGTGCACTTGGCCGCGCTACGTGTCAGGCAAAGTTGAGATCTGGGACTGGTAATGAACAAGTACTTGCCAGGAGTCAGCTTTTCACAGAAGCCAGATGCAGAAGAACGTAGAGGTTCACAGCTGTTTTCTTCTATCTTGGTTCGGGCGGGCCTCCGACCAGGCCACAACGGAGCCCCAAGCGGTCTCGAGAGGTGCTGTTTTTCAGAAGCAGCCACCTGGCAAGGAAGAGCTAGGCGGCTAGGTGTGTGTGAGATAGACCAGGGAAAGCATCCGTAGCGCCATGGGTGGAGTAGTAGCTGTTTTGAGGCTTTAGATGGTTTTAGGATGTTTTAGGAGCTGCAACTCAGCAGGGAGCATCCACCCAAGGGTGACTCAGTGAATGAGAGATCCAAACCAGCCGGCCAAAATGCCGCTCTTGGAGTGTCTTCATTCTTCTCACACTCACGGGTTCTTGAAGTGCTAGGCTATTTTCGTCTCTCCCTCTTTGTGAAGGTTTTGGAGGCGCGAGCCGAAACCACTGGCCCAACAGCGCTTGCTGGTTGGGCCAGCATCGGCTGTGGACTTTACTCTCGGCTCGTGAATGAACGCCCTGTCTGGGTTCTGACCGCTTGTCCTTGCTTCCAAAAAGGCCGGACCCCACATATATCACACACACATAAAAAAATATATATACCTACATCTTCCTTTGTATGTATTGTTTGGTTGTTTCGAACACAACATAGTTGTTGGGGCAGGCGGCGCAAATTTCTGTAGTGCAGCACTTTTTGGATTTTGGATAGAATGGGGTGAATGGGGGAACTTATAAACTTTGACACATCACCCAAAAGAAACACAAGAAACGAAACTGCGCAAAACGGCACCAAAACGGCACCGAAACAGCGCAATTTGTTTGCGCATGTTTTTGTTGCACTACTGAAAGTCCAAAGTGGCAGGCAAACCCATGAAGCGACAGTTTTTCCAGAAAACGACTAAAACTACATCAAGCGACAGAAATTAGTTGAGTTTTACAAAACGACCACTATTTTACATACCCGGGTGTCTTAGGTATATTTACGTAACAAATAACAAAACCCACCCACACACACACAGATATATAGATATTGGCAGAGTTTACTCATAGATGACGGAGAGGAAGATATATGCCGTGGCTTACTCTCAAGGTCTCTAGGGGGGCGGCCATGGAAGTGCAGGTGGCTGTGGTCACTTGCGCTTTCTCGATCGGGTGGATCGTACGGTCGACCTGGAAGGAACAGAGCCCCGTTTGTCCACCGTGCCACTGCCATTGCACTTTCGAGATCCCAAGCGGACCGCATAGCTTTCCATTGTTGCTGGGATTGGGCATATTGATTTGTGCATTGTTGGTGGCCCTTGCCTGGTTGAGCTCGAGGAATTTCGAGTTGCGTCGGTCGGGAGGAGGATCGCCTAAAGGTGGAAAAGGAGTGCAAGGCCTGTCAAGCCGTTTCATGCAGCTTACACAATGATAGCTGGAGGGATGGCTTTGGTGAACTATGGCGAGCCAGGTCCCATCTGGCATTGCAGAGCATTGCTGGCCCACGCTGGCGGTTCAGAATGGGCCGTGTTGACACCAGACCATGATGTGTACATCGAAGAGCTCTCCTCGACCAACTCCGACTTCACTGGCTTTGTTTACTGTGGAGAGAATGGGGCCGTGCCACCACACATCAACCCGGCCCATGTCTACGGCTTTGACCCTCTTACCCCACAGGAGTTGGGGGCCTTTCGAATGCAAGGTCAAGTGCTTGCCAACGCCCATATGCATGCTGCAGGTGTCCATGTTCCTCCGGTTGCAGCGCCGGCTCCTGCTGCAGCTCCGGCACCCGTGGTGCCCTTGCCTGGGGCTTTGGGGGCAGCTGCAGCTGCCCCGGCTGCTCCTGCTGGAGCAGCTGCTGCCCCCGTCGCTGCTGTTGTGGAGAGGGTGGACACTTGGGTTGCTTTGGAGGAGGCTGGGCCTTACAAGAAAGGAGATGTGGTGGCTCGGGAACCCACAGCCCTGCCCGCTGGATCAGTTCACATTGGCGAGCGAGGAGTGGTTCCTGCAGGTGTTGGGAGCATCTTAGTGAAGAAGGTGAAGCCTTCAGAGGCAGCTGCATATCGCATGGGGGACCTTCGAGTGCTGCCGATCAAGTTTGATGCGCAAGGTATTCGCCGCCAAGAGTTTCCCGCAGCAGTGTCTTTGATGGATGATGCAGAGCCTTCCGGAGGTGGGATTCAGTTGACTGGTCCCCCAACGGCTCTTAAGATCTTGAAGGATTTGAGAGATCAAGCATTCACTCCGAGCACATTCCACGAGCACTGGATGCGGACCTCAGACATTCCCAGAGGAGATCGCTCCACCTATGAGCATGAGTGCCTGTCTCGAATCTTGGAGAGCATGGTGATGGTCGACCAGCTGAACGCTCCAGCCCTGCAGTCAGCTGAATTGTTGCGCCGCAGGCTTCAAGTGATCAGAGAAGCCCACCGCATTTCGCCTGGACAGCCTGACTACAGTGCATCTGATGTGATGATGGGTTGGAAGTACAGGCGCAGTGGACAAGGCATTGACTCTACATTGGCTGCACATGTGGCAAATGAGTTGAAAGCTGAGGCAGCCATCGCGAAGGAGGCCAGAAAAGCTCGTGAGGAGCAAGCAGCCCGCCGTAAAGGTCGCAACCCGAAGAAAGGCGCGGCCGAAGGCGGGGGGGAAGGATGAGCGACTATGAGGCTGGCGGTTCAAGGGCCAGAGCTGACCAGCCGAGAGTGGAGGCCCGCTGCATGAGCACAGAGAATTCACCCCTACATGGAGAGGCTCAAGGCCATGATGATCGGTGGAGAGAGCTTTTTCCTATGCCTCTCTGCCCTGAAGTTCCGAGAGAGGCCGGGCTGTCAGTGAGTGCGCGTCGACGTCGAGCTGCCGTCCGTTCTAGAGTGGACTCTGTTAATTCAATCATCAGAACCTTGAATGAGATGTACTCTCCTAGCCGCGATGGCGATTTTTCACATGGTTTCGTGAGGACTAGAGCACAAGAGGCATGTCAGCACGAGCTTTTTAGGGCGGTGGCCAACACAAAACCACTGTCAAAAGTTTTGAGTATGCGTGAAGCTGTTCAAGAGCTTCTGCGAACAGACCTGTCCTACTCGGGCGAGGTTGCAACTACGGTGCGTCCCTACGACAGAGGCCTGCTTTCGATTCCGTCGTGTGGCAACCAAGCCGTTGTTTTGAGCGACGTGTTGGATGATGTTGGCTGCGAGACAATCAGGGACCCTCATCGCTGCATGTTGTTGGACGAGGAAGGTATTGGGGCAATGATGGAAGAAAATAAGCCAATTCAAACTTATATGGACCCCCTTCTCAGGGATGACATTGGTTTGTATTGCAACTTTGTGCGTGATCTGTTTGAAGCTGGCATGATAGATTTCACAAATAGACCTCAGGGCTTGGTGACCCCCTTCTTTGTGGCCAAGAAATCGGGAAAGCTTCGTTTGATTTTGGATTGCAGAGAAACAAACAGGATGTTCAGAAAGCCGCCTGTGTTGGCAGCCGGAACAGGAGCTTCTTGGTCTCAGATCAGGATCCCCGACGGAGAACAGTTGTTTGTTGCACAGTCCGACATTAAGGACTACTTTTACAGCTTGCAGTTGCCGGTAGATCTCAGAGCATTGTTTAGCATGCCACCTATCCCTGGTGCCCTACTCCGACATTGGAAGGTGAGTGCAGAACTCGGTGGATCCTTGAACACGGACGACTGGGTGCATCCAATGCTACGAGTGGTGCCCATGGGGTGGTCGTGGGCGATGTGGCTGTCACAAAGGGTGCATCAGCATCAATCGCAATTGGGGGCTGGGGTATCTTGTGATAGAGTTTTGGTGGATGGAAAACCAGCGCCAAGCCTCAGCAATGGCGAGGTACTTCTGCTGCCCTATGCCGACAATTTGAACGTCTGTGGCATCAATGCAGAGGCAGTGCAAAGAGCGAAAGACAGAGCAGTTGCAAGGTTGAGACAAGTCGGACTGACAGTACATGAAGAGATGGATGCAAACAACACCTCACAATCATTGGGTTACATGATCGATGGAGCAGTTGGCCAGGTGACACCTATTCCAGAACGACTTCATCGAGTTCAGCTGGCCTTCAAATGGCTCTCCCGCAGGCCCCGAGTCACGGGAAGAGCTGTGCAGAGGTTGTTGGGACATGCAGTACATTTCATGATGCTGAGGAGAGAGTTGTTGAGCATTCCACATCATTTGTATGCTTTCGTGCAACAAGCAAATGGTCGATGCAGGTTGTGGTGCAGTGCGGCAGTTGAAGCCAGATGGATTGGCGAACTCTTGCCTCTCTGTGCAACGGACCTGAGAAAACAAACTAGTGCATTGTTGACAGCTTCGGACGCTTCGTTGTCGGGGATTGCAGTTTGTACTAGATTAGCAGATGAGCAGTCAGTCAGAACTCTCGGTAGCTACAGGGAACGTTGGCGCTTCAAGGGCCGCAATCCGGTGAATCGACCTCGGCAGAACGCTTTAGGGGTTTTGGACCCGTTTTCGGACATTGCTAGCGTGAAACCGGTTGGACATGTCATGGATGACCCATTTGAGCTGGACAACCAATTCCCCGAGGTGCCCAAAAATTTGTTGGAAAACAGTGACTGGTCTTTGCGGTTCTCTCAACGCATGGTTTACAAGGAACATATTACATTGCTTGAGGGAAGAGGTATTGTTGCAACACTTCGACATAAATTTCGGAGCATTCGTCATTTTCATCAACACCATGTTCATTTGGCAGATAATCTTGGCATGGTTTTGGCTGTTGACAAGGGTAGAAGCTCTGCCCCTCAAATGTTGAGGGTATGTAGACGCATAGCATGCCTTCTCATTTGCACAGGCTCTAGCCTGACTTGCCGCTGGATCCCAAGTGAACTGAATATCGCCGATGAAGGCTCTCGGTACTGGGAACATCTCAGGACAGGGAAAACTTCTTCCAGCAAGCAAGCCTCAGAGCACTGGCCAAAAGAGGAAACCAGTGCAAGTGGGTTGGAGCAACAGACAGTCCCTGCGCAATCAGTTGCAGGGAAACAACAGAGAAGAAAGGGCAGACAAGCGACAGAAATACAAGGAGACAGTGAGCCAGATTCCTCGTTTTCAGGGTCAGTCTTTTCTGGAGATGAATGCAGTTTCAGAGGAGGTGGCCTCGGACTACAGGATTCGCATGGCTCGTTTCAAGGCATTTGCCAAGCTGGAGCAGATCTCTCTCCGAGGTCAAAAGAACTTGGACAATGCATTGAGCGCCTATCTCAACGAGATGTTCGAAGATGGGGAAGACATCGGGGAAGCCACAAAAACCCTGGCAGCAGTGGTGGACAGCGTCCCCGACTGCACCCAAAAGGGGAGCCTCCCACGCTCCCGCAGATGCTTGCAAGGATGGAACAGGTTGGACCCAGGGGCCACAAGGCCTCCAATACCTTGGGAGCTGGTGGCCGCAATCGTGAATTTCATGCTGGGAAGACAACAGATCAACGAAGGGCTTCTGGTGTTGCTGATGTTCGACGCCTACCTCAGACCGGGCGAGGCAATCAGCCTCCATCGGAGCGATCTGGTGGAGCCTACGGTGCAGCATCCAGTGTTTTGCCTAAACCTCAATCCCTCCGAAAGGGGCGCCAGCTCGAAGATGGGGCTTTCAGACGAAACAATAGTCCTGGACGGAAGGGAGACACCATGGATGGGCTTGCTGCTCCGCAGACACCTGGAGAGCCACAAGGCACAAAAGTTGTTTCCAATAGAGTATCGGCAGCTCAAAGACGCTTGGCAAAAGGCTCTTGTCGGCTTGCAGTTGTCGAGCAAACATTGTGTGCTTTATCAGTTGAGGCACTCAGGGCCTTCGCACGACAGAATGACCAAGGCAAGGAGCCTCGTGGACATCAAGAAGCGTGGCAGATGGTTGAGCGACTCTTCGGTTCGGCGCTACGAGGCAGCAGCGCGTTTGAACCAGGAGTTTCAGAAGTTGCCCAGGCCAGTTCAGACAAAGGCTTTAGCTGCTCCTCAATTCCTACAACAGTGGGTCCAAAGCTTTTTCAGCCGGAAAAGAAGAAGGATCTGAACAAGTGGGTGTTGGAGATTTTCAGTGGCACAGCACACCTCAGCAAAGCAATGGTTCAACAAGGTTTTCGTTGTGCAGCCTGGGACATTGACTATGGACCGGGTTGTGACGTGCTTCAAGTTGAGGTGTTGAGAAACCTTTTGAGTTTTATTTCTTCACATGATGTGGTGCTCATCTGGTTTGGCATGCCATGCCAAAGTTGGACCAGAGCCAGGCGGTGGGACGGTGGACCACCGCCTCTCAGAGATGATTCTGAGTTTCTTTGGGGCCGTAATGGCTTGTCGGCTACAGATGTTGAAAAGGTGAGGCTGGGAAATGTTCTACTTTGTTGGACAGTTGCTATGGCCTCGCTTTGTGACAAGTTGAGCATTGCTTATGTGATAGAGAACCCAGGCAGTTCAAGATGTTGGCTTACAGCACCCATGCAGTTTCTTTTGCGCACAGCTTCCCTCAACTTTCTGGATTACTGCCAATATGGGGTCCCCTGGAGGAAAAACACGGGACTCCTCCATGCTGGCATCCCCAATTTGGCTGGGACGCTTCGATTGTGCAAAGTTTTGAACGGCAGATGCAGTGCAAACCACAAAAGACACATCATCCTGTCTGGAAAAGATAGTCATGGCATCTACTGGACACACAGGGCCCAGCCCTACCCGCCCTTGCTTTGCCGCCACCTAGCACTTCATGTGGCCAGTACACTATAGTGGGTGTTGGGAGGTATGAATCTGCTTGGTGTTTTGAGAAACTTCAACGTTGAGCAGTTCGG